AATGGTTAGCTTATAAATGTATGGTTTTTATTGAAAATATTTGGGGTGGACGAGAATGCTTGAAAAACAACATTGTTTGGCATATGAAATCTCGCTTTCAATTTTATTTGTGAAATAGCTGAAGTTGATCCATAATTCTAATCATCACTAGCTGGGGCCCACTCTAATATGAGGCCATGAAAAGAATTCAATTCATCTTTCCACTTCTTGGTTGAACTTTATGTTGGAAATCACAATCGTTTTTGGGCCGAAGTATTTTTTGGAAGCCTTTTGTTCCTATGCGATTTTGCTGGGCCTTAATTGTAAAACTTTTGAATTTGTTTTAAGCCCATGATGAAAATAAATTATCATACATCTCGTTAGTACTGTTGGGTAAGATAACATAAGAGATCATAAGTATTGTTTATGGCCTATTTACTTGCATGGTCCTACACTAGTTGAATACACAAAATATGAATATTTCTCTTATCATTTACACATAATTCTTATGATGACAAACTTTTCTTTCGCTCTCCAACTCGTCCCCGAGTGCACTCGTACGAGGAAGAGTTGTGTTAACTCTAGAAAATGATGGAATTTTTTTAATCTCATGCTTTTTGGATCTATCAAAATCATTTGACTGGCAGTGATTTTTCATGACACGACAATTTTTCATTTCTTCTGAGCTCCTAGTTTCCCTAACAAATTAAAAACAATTTTATATGGCTTTTGTTTTACAAAAGACTTATTAAACTCATAAATATGGGAATCACGAGGCAATCAAAAGACCAAGCAAATGTGGTTAAAACAACAGTCATAGTCTAATTGTTGAGGCCAATTTAGTGAAGAACAAAACAAGATATTGAATCTGATACGAGTAGCCAACATGAAAAAATGGATTAACATTCGCAAAGACTAAGCCTATGGATTCAAAAATACTAAATTGAGGGGAACGCTTGCTCATTTCGTCTCACAATTGCCCAACATAAAATTGTAATCCATGATATGACAAATTTGGTTAAGTTTAAAGGTGACTTTCCCTTTTTCGGTTTGACTAGTACAGAACCCGTGCGATGCACGGGGTGCACAATTTTAAGGCTATTTATCCAGACTTATAATTATATACATGAATACAGAAAAATGTACGGGATATATACAGTACGTGACCCGTGCGAGGCACGTGATATATTTATTTGAGGAATACTATATTATAAGATGCAATATTCAATAAAAGTTTATAATACGCAGGAAAATCATACAATAAGATAGTATTCAACAAACAAACAATCATATATTATTAAAGACCACCTTGTACACAACATTATGAGTTTGATTTTCCATACAATAATAATAAGATTTTTTGTAAAAAGATAAGAAGGAATTTTCTATCTACACAAACTTTAAACATTAGATGTATTTACGTAAATCAATGACTATATAGACAACTAAAGCCTTCAATTTAGGTTTGACATCTACTTTATTATGGGTGACGTAAAATATGGATTTAATTTTGACCGATTAAATCTTTATTCATGGGCTTGACATATAAAATTGATTTGATGAGATTTTCTTAACTAAACCGATGCTATGGGATAAAACAAATCTATACTTACCTTTGACTTTTCCAGCAAAGGTAAAAAAATCGGTTCTGATTTTTCCCCCATAACAAATATTTAATTTCAAGCCTATAAATACCAAAACAAATCTGTAATTAATATCATTCTATTTCCAGCAAGCATTAATTACCTTTGACTTTTCTGCCTACTATTTCTAGTAAATAGGTTGACTTTTTATATGAGTATAGATTTCATATAATGCAAAGACTGAGATCATAAAAAAGAATACTAAAAACTGAAACAATATATTTGCATAATTTAAGGCCATTAAGAAACCGATCTCTAAACCAGATTTGATTTTCAGAATATGTTATTTCATTTCGAATTCCATACAAAATGGAATTCTTTCCAACCAATAGATGTCATAGCAAATATTAACTCTTAACTATTAGACTATTAGTACATACCGAGCAAATTGTGTACTGATTTTAGAAAGTTAAAATGATTCATGTTAGGTAATTTTACATTTTATGCATGTTGAACGGTGGGTTTTAAATATTATTTCATAGAATGTAAAATTGTATTATATTATTTTTATGAGATGTTGAATTTGAAAATTAATATAATTCTTCTTCATAGGAATTTTAAATGTAACAATATTCTTTGGTATACACTACTAATAAAATCTATATTTAAAGTTTATATTTTTTTTTTCGGAAAAAATTCCTTAATTTAAGGAATCATATATCTTCAATCAGTCCACATCTACTTCACAATTTTAAATCTTGAATTTGATGAGAATTCGTATCTATGAGTGCAAAATATGGTTTAACAAATTAATTTTTTATTATTATTCTAGCCATACTTCTTTATACGATTTTTTGTGAAAATACAAAAGTAAATTCTTAATTTTAAATCAGCCGTACATTAAGGAGTACAAATTTATTGAAATTACAAAAGTAGTTTTTTACTTTTAAACAGATGTAAATTTAAATCAGTCATAAAAAAGTAATATTTGTTTACCATTTAAATATTAAATCAGCCGTAATTAATGTTGTTTGTTTTAGTTGCCACGATTTTCTCCAAACTAAATTAACAACTGCCATGATTTAAGGGCAACATTTAATGCTGCTCTATTTTTAGGAGACATTAAATGTATTTGGCGGGAAAAACTTGCTAAAAGTGTTAAATGATTAATCTTTTAATATAACTAGTACAGAGCCCGTGCGATGCATGGGGTGCACAATTTTAAGGCTACTTATCCAGACTTATAATTATATACATGAATAAAGAAAAATGTACGGGATATATATAGTACGTGACCCGTGCGAAGCACGGGATATATTTATTTGGGGAATATTATATTATAAGATGCAATATTCAATAAAAGTTTATAATACGCAAGAAAATTGTACAATGTTCAATAAAAGTTTTATAATATTCAAGTGGAGTCTTAAAGTCTCTTGTACATTAAGACTACTGACAAAATAATATTTTAATCAATGAGTTTGCTTTCCTTGTAGCCAAAATGTGAATGTGATTTGAGGAGTACAACAAATCGATATATAGCTGACTTGCTTTTTTCATTGTATTTTTTTTCTTTTTTTTTTTATAATGAATTTAAAGATATTCTAAAATATGGCAAAAATTAATTTTTTTTATTACAATTAGGAATTTTACTAAATATAGACTCTCAATCTATGGTGTTAATCAACGTTTAAGTCTAACAAAATAGAAATTTTTACCTCTTTTAATCAACGTTTAAGTCTAAAAAACAATAAAGTTATTATAAGTTTTTTTCTACATCTTTTAAAACATTAAATATGAGCATGTTAGGGCTAGCTTGTAAAATAATTAATATATTATCTCACTAAAACATTTATACTAATAAAAATTAATTTTAGCATATAAATTTATCCCTTGATATAAGAGAAAGTAACAGTTTTACTTATTGTTGTTCATCATATAATATTTAATTATTATTTTATTATATAATAAAAAATATATTGTTAAATAGTGTAGTAGAATTGTTATAAAATTATATGAATTTTTTTTTACAATATGGATTTAATATTTTTTTATGATTTGATAATATAAACAAATCTATACTTAACTTTGACAAATAAACAAATAAATACTTTAGTAAGTATTTAATGTATATACTAAAATCAAATACCAAATATAATCAAATAAGTCAAAGTGTACATTTTTATTTGGTATTTGATTTTTTTATTATTAAAATCTTTTTTTTATACTCACTTTTTTAAAATAAAATAAATAAATAAATCAATTAAATAAATAAAATATTATAATACCAAAATAGTAATGACATTTAATGCAGTTGACTTTTCTGGATAGTAAATATAGTAAATAGAATCTTATTTTATATAAGTATAGATATGATATTATATTATGTTCCTCAAAATAGTAATGCATTTATTACATTGACTTTTCAACTTACTAAATTTCGTAAATGGTACACCTTATTATATAAGTATAGATTTTCGAAGCTTTGTTAATGAGCGAGACAGATTCCTCATATGGTTTATTATGTCATGACAACTAATAAGAGTCAGTATCAATCTTTATCACATGTTAGTTTGCTCTTAAAAAGGTCAATTTTTCAGTGAAGATCAGTTATATTCAGTTGTTTCTCATGTCGCTAATCGAAATAGCTTGAACAAATTAATTTAAGGAAACGATGGTTTGCCTACAAGGTAAACATATGTAATGTTTATTTATTTTTTATTCCAGGTTGATTAATATTTTTTATTCACAAAAATAATAATAAGACTGTGCAAATAGCCTTAAAATTATTTATCCCGTGCATCGCACGGGTTCCGTACTAGTATATATATTGAAAGAGAGAGGTAAATAAATCAAATGAGGAAAGTTTTAATAAAATTGCAGTCAACCAAGTTGACTTACTGAATATGGCAACCATTTTAAAACATCCAAAAAAAATCAATAGGTTGGTTTAGGGAATTCGTGGATTAGTATCTATTCCCGATTTTGTGGAATTCGTGGATCTCAATAATTGGTAAGCCAATTATTTAGGAAACATGATATATCACAAATCATTTTGTTTGATATCTTATCAATTTGAAATTGCCTTTAATATCGTTAACAATCCTTATTTTACGTGAAGATAAATGTGTATTACAATCTTATCAAAATCAATCTAATATCAAATCAAAATCAATCCTTCATTATGGGCTGGAAACTTATCTTACCAATCAAAATCACAATCACATCCAAACAAATTCTCGCACTCCCGAAATTAGATCCAAACAATTCAGATCAAAATTAATTCTCCCAAAATCATATCCAAACCAATTGGCTTAACATGAGAAGGGAACGACAAAGCTCCATCGAGTCTTCTCCATAGTCGATGAACGACCGTATTCGTGGCCCACTGCAGTCGGAGCTCCATCCTGGAGGCTAATCTCCGCCTCCTGAGGCCGTTCCGATTGGATGGACGGCCGATGGGCTTCCCGTGGGTGAACCCATGACGGAAAGGGCCCAGTGGAGCTCCGGCATCTTTTCTTCATTTCTTGTCTTGGAACAAACGACGAGTTCTGCAGTAGTGATCTTGAAGTTTGTGAGTTTTTTTTTTTTTTTTTTCATACTATGATTTTTTTTTTCAGCTAAAGATTGGATTTTTATGAATTTGGATATTGATTGTGTGAATCTGGTTTTGATGGGTTTGGATTACGAAATGGGTGTTGATTTCTGATTGTTGATCTGCACTAAAAATTGTCTAATTTTTATGACATGTCATAAATTAATTGGTTAAGTTGTTGAAGTCTGATTTATGGATTATGACAACAAAGGAAATTGACGTTTGATCATCAAATTGGGATATATTTTTATTTTCCAGATAAAGATTTGATTTTTATGCATTTGGCTATTGATTGTGTATTTGTGTGAATATGGGTTTTACTGGGTTTGGATTACAAAATATGGTGTTGATTTCTGATTCTTGATCTTGTCTGGTTTTGTTAAAAATGTCGTAAATTATTTTCTTAAATTGAAGTCTAATTTTCGAGTTTACCACAACAAAGAAAATTGAAGACTTGAAGCTGTGATGCACGGGATGCCGATGATCGGGTGCCTGATCTATGCAGAGTAGAGGATGAACAAGGTGTTCATGGTGGAGGAGATGGGGGTGACGCTGCCCTTGATGATAGGGATGATGGGTTCGTGGCGACGGCGGAGCAGGAGAAGTGGGTCATGGAGTTGATGGACTCGAAGGCGGTCGGGCCCTCAATCGTCTTCTTTTCTTTCTCTCATGAAGGGACGTTGGGATCTATCATGGAGCGTGCAGATCGAGTGCTTGCATGCTTAGAAAGTGAGCTTGATGAGCTCCCGTTTCTCTTGAAGTCTATGCTCTCCTCAAATGTCTCTCATATATTCTTGCTGGTAACGAGCTAGCCATTCATGAATTTCTATCATTTTTTTGAAAAGCTTGCATCAAACGCTGATACCGTTGTTGCGTTTTTTAAGCATATTTATTTCATTTCATTTTGGTGGTAATGCTTCTTATGGCAGCATCTACCAAAAAATTTTTGTACACTTCATTGCCCCAATCACGATACGTAACTTTGGTGGACAAATGGGGGAATGAATACAAGACCACTTATCTTCTCGAGAGGCATGGCTTGAGTGCCGGGTGGAGTGGTCACTGGCTATTGAAAGGCGACATACTCATTTTCCATTGTCCATTTGACTGAAGCTTGCAAATTGCAGGTAAAGTTTTTATAATTTTTATAATTTCCTCATTAATCGAAGCTCAAGTTAAAATATTCGACATGCGATATGATATTTATAAGGAGAGATTAGAAAACATTATTATGTTTTGTTGAATATAACCTTAATAGTATTAAGAATATTTTTTCGTTCTTTTTTTTTTATGTATAGTTCGTTAGGCAAATTTGGACTATTGCCTTTGTAGGTGCACATTGTTAGAGTGCATGGCTCGGATGTCGTTGGTGCAGGTCTTTGCCTTATGGAATTGGATGCTTTTAAAAGAAGGCAAATGATGGTTAGTGTTTGGTTTTTCTTTCGTTTGAAATGTCGGTTTTTCTATTTTGTACCGTGACGTTTGAACAACTATGGATCGAGATTTGAGCTCTTACATTTGTGTTTTGCTCTCACATGGAAACATATATGAAGATCTTGAGAAGAAAATAGCGTAAAAGAACAACAAAGTACTTGGAGCCTTTCTTACCCAATCTCTCTACACCATTAGAATGTCAAAGGAAAAAACGTGCTCGATCAATATGTGAGAGAAACCGATGGGCCTTTCTTGCCCAATCTCTCCACACCATTAGAGAATGTCAAAGGAAGAAACGTGCTCGATCAGTATGTGAGAAAAACTGATGGTTTTAACTCCAAATTCGTAGGTGTGATTTTATTTTTATTTTTTCTTTCTTTTCTGCATTTTCCATCTTAACGAACTAACTTTCTTGAAAACGTTAATTGACAAGAAGTAATGGTGTTTTGTAGATTCTGAAATTGCGGTTAAGAAAGCTCTTTGCTATCCCAGGCCGTCATTTTGCACGAACATCATTGTGAGGGCGTCGTTTGTAGGTAGGTTTTTAAAAAACCTCAAACGAAAAAGGATCAAAAAAGAAAGATACTCTGGGGAGCACCTTTATTTATGCTCCGTTTTGTTGTGTACTCAAAAGAATCAATTTTTTAGGAATATATGTTAAAGGCTTGCAAATTTGTAGAATGTCGTCTGACTAAAGGGCCTCTGCATATACCGATGTTGACATCCAAAGGTAAAATCAAGCGGTTTTACTTTCGACGATTTGGATCGTGAGAATTTTTAGGGTTGTAAAAATATGTATGAACTCATTCAAGGTTTTAGTGTTAGGAGGTCACATATCACATATGTGTTATATTATATATGCCTTATATTCATTGATGCAAATATATCTTTACGAGCTAATCAACGATTTGCATTGTTTCTATATTAATCGACGCAAAATTTATATATCTTTTAAGAGTTACTCGGCGACTTGCATTGTTTATATCTTCATCGATAACGTCCGACTATTCCCCGTTATTGAGAACCAGTAGAAGTCCCTCTAATTGTAGCAGAATAAGTTATTGCTCTACTAGGAGCAATTGAACTATTGGCATTGAAGGCAGGACAAATAGTAATTGTTTGAAAAGATATCTTGATTGGAATTCAATTGTATAAGTTCAGTTTGAAGGCAGGACAAATAGTAATTGTTTGAAACATATCTTGATTGGAATTCAATTGTATAAGTTCAGTGAAAATGTAAACTGCTATGTATGTATGTATGTGTGTATTCTGTTGCAGCTTAGTTAAAGAGTGATCATATCCCACTGTGCATTATGTGTATACAATTACATGTGAAAGATATTTTATTTTGGCATTAGTTCGTTAGTTCGAACAAGCACCTGGAACCACAGAATAAAAGGGAAGATCTTTGTATATTATGTATATTATGTCTCCTTTAGTAATATTATTTATATTCCATATATAAATCCATGAGGATCTTATTACGGTTTTTATATGATAGGTATTCGCACGTGGAGAGATAAAGAAGAAGGATGAAAGAGACATGCTAGGAGAGGAGATCAATGAGAGAGAATAGAAGATTTCTTGCCATAGTTATCCTGTTATCTTGGAAGGAAATCTTGAATGAAGACCTATGCCTTGTAGAAGACTCCAAACCTAAGGAGATCATATATATACCCTAGAAGAAGCTTATGGCGACGAAAAATTAGAGACAGAGAAATATTCGAGAGCCATTCAAGCTTCACTGGTTTTTACTGTTCTATTTTGATTGTATTTAGTACAGTCTAAGAGTTCTTACAAACTCAAGGACTGGTACTGCTTTCGCTTAGCTCTTTATACATTTCATCAAAACTATTTTACGGTTTGTACACTTAGGGAATAAGTGTAGGTGTTTAAGTCCACGGGACGTGGCCGGAGGATTAGTTGATAGGATCAAGTAGTGTTGGCTAGATTTGAAGGGAGTTCGAATCTTTGTAAGTCCAAGCTATGTATACGAGTGATCTATCAATGAAAGAGCTCTGAGGGGAAGTGGGACGCTTCCCTGAAGAGTTTATTAATCTTCGGTTATTTGCTTCCGCATTTTACAATTCTTATTGTAGTTCGTACTAATACTCGCGCACTTCGTGACAAATATACGTTTCAACATGTATAAAGTAGGTGTTTCTTTTTTCTTTTCTTT